TAAGTCCTGTTTCTCTCTTTTATACTATTCATCGTCCTCACTACTCATCTTTACGTCTTCATCACTCTAAATACGTTCGTCTTCCACCTTCTGTTGATGGTTTTTCTCCACAAACGGTGCATTCTTCTTTTTTTTATTCAACTATTACTGATTGGAATAATCTTCCAGAGTCAGTTATTTGTCTTTCTTCTTTTTTGTCTTTCAAAACAGCCTTACTTCAGTATCTCTTCCAGTGAAACGCTTGTCAGTTAAGCATTTATGCTTGTTCTTTTTTTTAAAAATTTTTGTTTTATTTTACTACTTCTGGTTCTAATCTTAGTTGTCTTCTTTATTTTGTTATTTCTTTTATTATATTTTGGTGTTGTTTGGCTTGAGTCATTGTTACTACAGGTCGATGACCTTTGATGACTCTCACTTTTCGTGAATAAACAATCTTAGTCTTAGTCTTAGTCCTGTGCTTTTTCTTTTAAGCCAGGGTGAAATACAGATGGCGTCTCACCGCAACTTGGATGGTTTTTCCTGTCCTGGCCGTCAACATTTCAATCAGTGGAGCGTAAAAAACTGAAGAAGATGGTGTATTTTTTATTCTTACCAAAGTAGTTTTGAGGCTGAAATATTCTTTTTTGAAATACACTTTGCTGCAGTTATAGGTTTCTAACGAAAAATCAATGGCAAGATGATACAAATTAACGGGCTATTTGCCAAAATCCTCGATTCAATAAAATAAAAACTGCAGTTTAGTCTATCTTCGTTAAATCGAAATTCAGATTTTAAAATGTTTTAACTTTTGCTAAAATTGAAGATATCTCCCGCAAAAAGCTCCGGATTTGGATAGAGCGTAGAATTCTACGTATGTGAGATGATTTTCAGAATATGTTTCGGAATTCAGTTTGTCGGGAAAAGAAAACTAAAGCTAGTTTTTAACATTTTCAAACGTAGCCGGCAGTCATTTTGAATCCTGTTCTGCATTTGTTCTCTTGGCAGTTAGTTTTTAACCAATGCTAAAGCTACGTGCGATTGGCATCTCTTATTGATAGGAAACTGAAGTTACCTGTCAAATATTTGTCAAACAATTCTTCCAATGTAAATGCTGAAAAAAGAACCTGTTTCATTAGTCAATTTCAGAGATTATTAGATAGTAAATTCCGTCAGTATAGTCATACCATATTTAGGAAGTAATATTCTTACGAAGAACACTCCGCTTTATTGAATCATCAGAGATTTCTGTTTTTATTGAGTGACGGTTTTTGCATCTTAATTGCTTGAATTTTGAACGAGAATGAACGCCAGTAATATAATATAGGAACTACTACTTTTCATCTCATAGAACACAAAAGAGGAGCTTGTGCAAAGTGCGATTGGACGTTTGCAGCACAAACGGGATGAATATGCATGAATGTACTGAGTCATGTTCTCTGATGCTAAAAGCAAGAGAAGAATACAATGTATTAACATTTCTTCTAAATAAATAAAGTTTATACCATACAATGTATATTGTATAGTATAAGTTGATTTTATTCTGAAAAAGTGTCATTTCTAGGTTAGAAATAAGGTGTGTATGTTATAAAAGTGCTCTAACTCTAATCTCGCAAGGGATATATTTTCTTGTTAACGCAGAATGAGATGGCGGCGATGAACATGACAAAAAAATCCCTTAATCTGTGTACTTTTATTACGCTGGAAAAGCGCAATACATTACATAAAAGCTTTAGAGAAATTCCAGTGGAAATGAAGTTTTCCAGATCTTCTTTCCTTAAATTCTTGCTACCGTTACTCAGATATCTGCAAAAATAGCGCCGTCTATAGTATTTCATAGCAAATATTTCGGTAACGGTAGGAACAATACAAGAAAAAAGATTCGGACAACTTAACCTTTGTCTGAAACAATAGAACAAAACTGCACGATATAAGAGACGTTTTTCACAAGTATATAGATTATCTCTGGTCTTTTTCCTGCAAGAGATTCATAAATCATATAACTAAGAAACCAAGAATGTGATTATAAATTTCTCTCTCTCATCGGCCAACGTCACTGTCGACCATCATATATCACACACATACTGTTAAATTTTTACAAAGTTAAACAGTTTTTGAAACACGGTAATGCACGGAGCGATGTCCTCTGGGGAGCAAAAGACCATCCAGCGTCCATATTTTGTTCTGTTGTAGATTATAATTTCACAATGATTTTGCAACTTTTCTAGAACTTACCATCGAGAACTTTATATTAAAGAAATTTCCTTCGTCAGACAACAACTCAGTTTTCTTTCTCAGTAGTTGCAGTTCTCTTACGTCAATTTGATCAATAGAGCTATCAATTGACATGTTTTTACTTTAACTTTCACTTTTTATGAACCTTTGCTTTTTCTCTGATAGTTCAAAGACTCTTCCGAACTCTACTCCGCATTAACAAAAATCAGCAGCAACATTAACCCTTTCCAGCCTGATGTTGCCATTTGGGAACACTTTTTGCTATGTTTTCGAAACAGCCGGCTGAAAAGGGTTAAGGGAAGAGGAGAAAGTGATCATCACAAATATTGCGCAGCACAGTTAGTTTTTGTTTTCGCACTTATGAAAAAAGGCGTGACCCGGTTGTATTCAGTTTACTTTATTTTTAGAATATTTAAAAGAATGGAATCATCGCCGTCTTTATCTTCGTTTGATTCTCTACGCTCTCAAGCATTATCATCTGGTTTTGAAAGTAAAGTAGAAGTAAATCAACGAATGTTAATTGATAAAATGTTGGCACGCTATTCAAGTGATTTCGTAATCTGTCGCGAGTTAATTCAGAATTCCGGTTAGTATAAATCCTTTACAGCGAAAAATCTATATTTCGAAATGTTTTATTCAATTTAGATGATGCCAGAGCAACTCAGTTTGTGATGGAGATAACATGTAAACCAAATAACATTAAAATTGGAAATCCGTGTTCAGATGTAGAATACAACGATTGTACTATTAGTGAAATTGTGACAAAAAATAATGGTCTTGTATTCACAGAAACAGATTGGAAGGTAATATCAATAAATGATTGAAGACTAATTTTTTTTTAATCATAATTCGTTTACTGTCTAGCGTATTGCTGCAATAGCTGAAGGAAATGATCGAGTTGATTCGGTTGGACAATTTGGTGTCGGATTTTTCTCAGTTTTTGGCTGGTCCGAAGAACCTATCGTTACATCCGGCTCTGATTATTTAGGTAAATTGTTCAAGTTGTTTTAAATGCAACACTACATTTTTCTGTTATATTTAGCATTTGTATGGAAAAATAATTCATTGATTACATTTCGGCATAAATTACCTAATGCACAACAAACAAATTTAACATCAGTTATAATGAAAATGAAAAATGAATATACACTACAAACATCAGCACCTCCAAATGATGATGATTCATTCCTTTTTTCTCCCGATGATCAATCAAAATCTACTCCAAAAAAGAAGAAACCTCTCAAAGTTACAAATGATAATTTTAAAATAAAAAATGGAGAGATTATACCGGTGATTAATTTATGTGCATTAAAAGCTTATTTTACAAAAGGTATTATCTATATAAAAAAATTTAGTTAATTCTTATTCTAATCATTTGTCTTCTTTAGTTTTATGTTTTACTAAACAAGTGAATGAATTAATAATCAAAATTAATAATAATATTGTATTTAAAGTAAATAAAACACAAACAATTGTTCCTCCATCAAAATTAACTTTATCTTTTAAAATGAATTCAATACACAACATGTTTAAATTAAACTCATTTGTTGAAACACAACAAACATTTTCTATAGCAAATTCAAAAAGTTCATCTAAATTTGATTCAATTACCATGCGTCATATCAATGTTGATGGTCAAGTGACAATTGATGAGCAATTTCATGAACAAACAAAGCGTATTATGAAAAAATCATTACCACCTACAATACAAATACAACTATTATATCCATCCAATGATATTACAATGAGAAAGAAAATAGCAAGCCAAAATCACGCTCAAGATTATAATATGAAAATATTGAATTCATTAATACCATTAAAATTTATTAGTCAAACAATAATACCATCAGGTAATTACATGTGGATCTTTCTGATCTATTCTTCATCGGAACTAGTTGAGTACATGAACTATTCACTTTATATTCTCATTATTTAGGTTTAGTTTTTATTGGTTTAAGCACTCATCAGACCACCGGTATTGGTGCTCATATCTTTACACACTTAATTCCAACAATTGAACGAGAAAATCTCGATTTACAAGATCCATTTATTTCACGTTGGAACAAAGAATTGTTAACCACTGTTGGCCAAATTGCTCGTTTTATTTATGATCAATCAATGTTGAAACAACAACCCAAAATGACAACTAATGATAGTGGAAATACCATCTCATCGATTGTTTTGTCAACAAGTTTTCAACAATCAGTACCAAATCATGAAATTGGTAAGAAACTAAAACTATTGATTTTTTCCATCTATATATGTCTCTTTTTTTGTTCTTTTAGGTGATTTATTATCAGAAGGATTTTTTCATTCTAATAAAGATTTACTTGTTCCAATACAAGCATCATCAAACAATATGATCTCATTACTCTCATCAAAACAAGCATATTTATCTAATTCACCATTCTTTCATTCATTTCTACCTTTACCAATCGTACCGTATGAGCTATCATTGAATGCAATTGGATTTTTTAATGCTCTGAAAGCACGTGATTTAATATTAGAAATTGATCAAAATTTAATTGAAACAACGTTAAAAACAACAATATTAACCACAAAACAAGTTGTTGATCTACTACATTGGCTATGTAGTAAAAGTCATGGTTATGATAAAATATATGTCAAAAATTTATTAGGTTTAATTGTATTTAAAGATAATAATCAATCATCTCAAATCACATTAATAAATATAAAACATTATGATTCATATAATCTATCGTCATTATTACCATTACCCGCTAATACGTTACCATCAACAATTGCTAGTCATTTATCAACTGAAGAATTAACTAAACAATTAAATTTAACACCGTTGTCATTCAAAGAACTTCTAAATTTTTATTTGAATAAAAATCAACAATATCTTTTATTAAGTGAAGTAACAACACCATTTATACTTAGTTTTTTTAGTACACATACAGGACGTTTAACAAAACCCGACTGGACAAAAATTAAAAATACATTAGGAAAATTACCTTGTATTCCAACCACACAGTTAATGAAATTACCCAATGAATCGTACATACCATCCGCAGTAATTTCATCATCAATGGCTACTGTTACGTTGAATATAAGTGGAAATAATAATATTGAAAATGAGGAAGATATTGAATTAGAAGATGATAATGATAAAAATAATAATAATTCTGTTTCAGTTTATTTTCTAAAAACAATTGGCTGTCGTACAATGAATGTTCAATCATTTGTTAAAACATCTGCATCCTCTACAAATTCTTCAATTTCATTACAAATATTAGTTCAACAATTGATGGCAGAGCGAGATAGTCTTTCAGATGAAGATTATCGACAATTAAAACTAAGTGAATGTTTAAGAGGTAATACATTGATTATCTTATTTTAATTAATAAAGAAGAGTTTTAATTCTAGGTACAACAATCAAACAAAAGAATGACTATAATCGACTATTTAAACCCACTGATTTACATTTTCCAGCCGTTGCTTTAGAAATCAAATGGAATGATTTGTTAATTATCGATTGGATTGATATTAATAAAAAATCACCAGAATATGCATTTTTAAAAGAAATTGGTGTTAAAGAAGTACCGAATTTAGATGATATAATAACTAAAATAGCAACAGATCAACAAGATAAACAAAAACAACCAATTTCAAATGCATTGAGATTTTTTATTGAAAATTTTCAACAACATTATTCAAAAATTTATAAAACAGCCAAAATTTCTATACCATTTTTGCCATCTGTATGGCCAAATATCAAAACTGATGATCAAATGGGTGAAGCTGATGATGATAATGAAATTGTTTTATCTCTTCCAGAAGAAGTTTTTACAGGTACAAGTAATTTAATCTCTGAACATATTTACTAGGTAAATAAAAGTAGACAACAAATTCATTTTTTATCATAGACGAACTACTTTTTTTTTCTTCATCATTTAATTTCTATTTCTAAATTTTAATTATATTTCCATTTTAGAACCAAATCCATTGTGTCCTATCTTATTGCCAGAAATAACTCAATTAATTGATGCCAATATGAATCTGTCTTTACTGGGTATAAAATCGACACCAACCATAACAACTGCGTTTAATTTATTAATAACAAAAAGAAATGATTTATTAACATTAAAATCAGCTTCAAAAATATTTAGTTATTTAAATGGATTAGAAGGATTAAATAGAGCAACTACTGAAAAATTATCAAAAATTGCTTTCATTCCAATAAAAGGTATTGTATCATCTACTAAATTAATATAAACAATTGATTTAGTTTTACTTCTTTTTTAATTATTAAAGGAAATGATACACTGATGAAACCGTCTCAAGTATTTATTAAACCTGAAAATAGTAGCAGAAGTTATAATCAAGAAATAATTATTCTCGATACGGATGATGAAGAAGAAGTTGAATTAGAAGACAAAGGTATATAGAAAGATTTTAAGTTTTCTATATTAAAATTGTTTGTATATCTTTTAGGTCGAAAACGAGCGAGACGAGGAGGAAAAAGAGAGAAAAAAATTGTTAAAAAGCCCAAACCAAAATATTATCCTATCGATGAGAATAATAGTGCTAATAATAATTCTATGATTGATAAAAGTGGTTTGATTGATTATGTTGATTTTGGAGTAGAAGGCAATCAATTTTTACTAAGTGTCGGCGTCGAACGTTCACCTTCTCCTGCCGTTCTAGCTGAGTTATTAATTGATCGTCAAGAACAATATTTTAGTCATAATGAACAAACAACAGAAATGAAAATAAATACATATATTGAATGTTTAAAAGAATTGAGTATGGCCGATATAAAATTGTTTAATGCAGTATTAATAAAACGATTGAGAAATGAAAAATGGTGTTTGGGTTTTAAAATTGTCAAAGATAAATCAGCACGTAATGTAGTCAATAGTAATTCGAAAACATATGAGATAGTTCAACCATGTGATGTTTATCTTGATGATGATCATCAAATTGTACAACAATTACATCCATTAGTTCCACCTGATTTTAAAGAATTAACAGAATTATATAGACGATTTGGCTCGCCTTGGTTATCCGAAAGTGTACAACGTTCGTTACTACCCAAAGGCAAGTCTAAATATTTTTAACAGTGTGAAATATGTAACGTGTTTATTCTATTTTTTTTTAGGTAAAAGTGCCACTTCGGATCGTTGTAATATGTTGAAAAATTTGATTCATGAACGATTGGAATTGTTATTATGCAATCGACGTGTAAGTTTTATAACTTTTACATTATTCATATTATTAATGGAATTGTTGTTACTGTTTTTTTTTTCTAAGGGTGAAAAATTACAAAATGTTGACGCAAAAGCTGTTGATTTATTGAAAAGAAAACTATTCGTATTAGAAACTGAAGGAATTGAATCAAAATTAATCTTTCAAAAGAAAACATATATATTTGAGGTACCTCAAAACTAGTGTAAAAATTATAATTTTTAATTGTGTTTGTTTATTCTAGTCAAATGAAAATAGTACTTGCGCATTGATTAGTGAAAAAAATAAACTTTCATTACATGTTCAAATGCATGCAGAACTTGATTATGTTGATGTTGCAACAGAACTGGCAAGATTTTTACTCAAAAATCCCGATGAATCTGTTATCAATTCAATGTCGGTTAATTTATCAACACCATTAGATATATTGAAACGACGAGGAGTACCTATCGATCGATTATTACAAAAAAGTCAAAATAGTAAATATAAAGTTTTAATATCTTATAGTTTGAAGCAAATATCATCTGAACAAATATGACATCATTAAATCTAGCAACTTCATTTTTTAAATCAAAATTGTCCTAAATTTGAGTTAAATACAAAACAAATTTGATGATAATGTTTAAATGTTTCTATTTTAGACGTTCAATTTGTTCAGCCTCCGCCCACATACAATCATCAACATAATGGACCAGTTCAATTTCACAATGAAAGTCATGTTGAATTAAGTGGTAAAGTTCGTGACTTTTCTGCTCAAACAATAAAAGAAGAACGATCAATTGAAAATATATTCAAAGATGTTAGACCATATAATAGTAAATATTTTAAACAACAAGAACATCTTCAACAAGACATCGATCATTCTTGTGTAAGTTATAAAAAATTAATTTTAACATATATGTTCTGATAGTTTATTATTATTTTGTTTGTATAGGAAGCTGTCAATGCTGCAAATATGACACGTCATTCACAATTATTTAACCAACTTCCATTATTTTTGGAAGGTAATTTACAATTGAATGATAAATTAATTAGCCATGCTAAACAATTTTCATTGATAATGGCTGGTTTAGCTCAAGTATTTAAAGTTCAAAAATCATGTTTTCATTTATATTATGATATTGATGGAGGGAGAATGGCATTTAATACAAATGGTTCAATGTTTTTCAATTTACGTTATTATTCACAAGTACACACTAATTTACTCAAATCACAGACGACAACTTCAAATTCATCAAATTTAAATGATGTTATTAATTTTTGGTATATTGTTACATGTCATGAATTAGCTCATAATGCGGAAACAAATCATAATGCACGTCATGAAAATCGCTTAGAAACATTAGCAGTCAAATATATGACAGCAAAAGATAGTTTTATTCAAGGGTTTGTCTTTGATAAATATGTAGAATAATTTCAAATATAAATTTTGTTGTGTACAAATCTGTGTATTTGTATGTTGTATAGCGAACTTTATCTGTTATTTTTTTTTTATCAATCTCGACGAATTTTATTGTTTGCTTTATTCTTGTCAAAATTCTTAATGTAATAAATATGTTAGATGAGCTGTGAGTTCATCTATCAGCATGTAAATCATTTCATGAACACTTTAATGAAAAGAACAAAGAGTCAAAGTTGAGCTTTGTTACATTTTATAATGAGATCGAACAATCAAGAACAGATAAATATGCAAGTACTATGGATAAATGCACTATTATAGTGTAATTGTATCTGATGGGTGTAATTGTATCTGATGGTCCTACCCTTGTAATGCATCTCCACTATACCGTTGTTTGTTCAAACTTCAGCAAAAACTGCCTTCACTTAGAATCACAGAATATATTAATAGTTTCATTCAGTTAGTTCAATTTTAAGTTATATTATGTCATCGACAACCATATAATTAAATGGTATTTGACAGTCATGATGAATAGAAGAATTGTTTGCTCTTTATTAGATAACATACTCTACGTTTCCGTCTGTTATTAAAGCCATTTTCAAGAGAAATACACAAATCTAATATTTAATTGTATATTTCTCTTAAAGTTAAGTAAGCTCAATTAGAAAATAGTTATGAATAGCTAGTTTATTCATCGACTATGGCTTCTTTTGTCAAAGACCACCGTATAACTTGAAGAATGGTGCTACGTCATAATATGTGCTGTTGTACAGTTGCAGCAAAAATATACGGTATCCATGTTTTGAAAGAGACACTGAGATAAATAATAAAAATATATCAGCAACAAAAACTTTTGCATAAATTTAAGCATAGCAGGCAAAAGAGCGTGAAAACTGAATAAGATGCACATTTAAATTAAAATCACCCACTTTTACCGATATTTAAGGAATTTTTTTAAAAAGATACATTTGCAAAAATGATACAACGATATTTTTAATATAATCCGTTTGGTGTCATTATTTCTTTCAAAAAAAAGTTTTTTTCTGCATCAACATATTACAGATGTTAAATGTGAAACTTAATCTTAAACTACGGATTAACTGTAACCCGATATTAATTTCATTCTGATGTAGAAAAATTTTTGATTTAAATGTTCAACTTATTCAGTTTTTCACGCTCTTTCGCAGTTTTTGTTGTTGATATATTTTTATTATTTATGTCAGCGTCTCTTTCAAAACATGCATATCGTATGCTCAATTTTTACCACAACTGTTGTAACCGCCCAAATTTTTTTTGCAGTAGTATTCTCATATGCTGTTATTTAGGGAGGTCACTGATTATTTTCGAAACGAAAGAATGGGAGGCAACCAACATATAGTGGAATCGTCATTCTTGAGATTTTAACGTAGAAAGATAACTCTATCACTCCGCTTTTCTCTAACCGCTTTTAGGTTACACGGCGTTGCATAACCTTTTGCTAGAAAGAACAGACCAAGCCAAGCAGCGCAGAACCAAAAAATGCATATTTTATTGAAACTGAATTTCTCCTGAATACAAAAATGTTTTAAAACTTGGTATACTTCCAAGTGGCTGTCCACATAGCATTGAGATGTTGAGGATAAGATTTCAGCAAAAAATTTCAAAAAAAGATGAATGAAACTAAAGTTCATGAAGGACTACTTTGAGTTGCTGTATCAAGACTTCTCGTGAATATCGACCTTCGCCTCGTTCCCTAACCATCAGAGCTTTCACTTTGTCTTTGATGATCGCTCCCAAGTGTTCGGCAGCATTGAGATCGGGAGAATTTTTTATTTGACTCGTTCGACGAGCCAAGTTTGAGAATGACCGAATTTGGTCTGTGGAGGTATGAAAGACAATGAACACTATTAGGAGATGTGTCAGACTCTGAAGAAGTTGTGTTTTTACATGACAGTGCAAAATCTCGTGCTTCTACAGATCGATTTATTTTAATAATGTACTTTGTATCCAAAAGAAATAATGAAAAAATGTGTCACTATCGATGTGGTATGATCAAATATTCAGTACAACAAGACATTTTGAATATCGAACATATCCAATAAAAAACGAAAAAGTCAATGACTATAAACTGAAATTATTGAATAGAATGAACAAATACTATTGTAAATAATAAGAGTATGAGTAATGGAATTTCACAACAGAGATCAAATTATAAAATACAATAAATTTTTCCTATTTTCTCAAAAGATTGATAGCATCCTTTACATTCGATCTATCGATCACAAATCACATTCTGTAATAACAGCGTTTCTTCAAGAAAATTAAATTTGCAGTTTATATGGAAAAAAATGCAGTCTGAATGTAGGTCTAATCAAGAGCGATTCATCTAGTATTTTATATAGTAAACTTTTATTCTTCAAGATAGGAGAAACAAGGAGCTAACTCATATCATGATAATTGATCAATTGTACAAACACTGACTGATAATCAACTAGCTATTAACGAGTCAAGTAATACATCAGATGACTCATACAATTAACAAATTATTGGTGTTATTGCTCATGAAAACGAAAATAAACAGATAAGAACGATAAACTGCTCAAACGCAATCATGTATCAAGCAATGACATTAGCAATGAGCAATTTAGTGATAAGATAAGATAAGATTCAAAAGAATAGTAAAATATTGTCACAAATAGTTTTTGAGTAATAGTTGACATTTATTGATAAACAAGAAAACAAAAGGATTAGCATCATGGTTTATTATGTGTCATTTTATTGAATTATTATGTGCTACACATTTGAAGAATTAGTTTTTTTGCTAAATCTATTTTTTATTAGTAGAGAATGATTAGAAAAAAAGTCTGAATTATTATTTGTTGCTCCTGTTTTCTTTTTAAATATGAACGTCTATTTTATGGATATGGACTTAAGAATATTAAACAATCAGCATAATCTATTCGAATTGTGATAATGACAGACACTCTATAATGTCTTTTATCAAACAAAATGAACAGTAAACGATGAAAAAAAATACTTTCTTATGTGATTGAGAAAACAAAAATTTGACCGAGAACTTTTATATTAACAATGGTATGTTCACAATCTTGTTATAAGATCCATAAGATGTGCATAGTACAAAGGTGTGAAACTGGGTTAGCGTGCTATGTTTTCTAGATAAAATCGATATACATGTCTTTTAGAAATCGTTTCAAGTTTTTGTCAAGAGTTTTGTTGCTACTTCCTTGATAATATTCCATGCATATTCAATATGTTTGACTTCTGTTAAATATGAACATACGACTAATCTTAGAATGAAACGTTGTTTAACCATTGAAGGAACGAGATAAATACGTTTATCTTCATTAAGTGCTTTTAATAATTTTTCATTTAATTCGTTCGAACCATCTTTCAACCGGAAACAGACGAGTCCCATTGTTATTGACGGAAATACAATTTCAAAACGTTTATCATTTTCAAGATAACTGATAAATAATTTTGCCAATTCAATATGTTTTCTTATGTGTTTACGAATTCCACTAAGACCATATGTTCGCAATACAAACCATAATTTAAGCGAACGAAATCGTCTACCCAATGGTATTTGCCAATGTCGATAATCTGGTGCCACTTTTGAATAATCATGTTTCAAATATAATGGATCAACATTAAAAGCATTTATAAAATATGTTCGATCTTTAATCCACATTGCTGAACAATCAAAATTAACTAACATCCATTTATGAGGATTAAAATTAAACGAATCTGAATATTCAACACCATTCAACAGATATTGATATTCAGGACAAATAAATGCACTACCAGCATAGGCCGCATCAACATGTAGCCATATATTTTCTTCCTGACATACTTTACCTAAACCAGCAACATCATCGAAAGCACACGTGGGCGTTGATCCCAAGGTGGCGACTAAGCAAAATGGTATTAAATCTTTTGCACGATCATCACTAATTGCTTGCTCTAATTGATCAGCTTTTATACTACAGTTGTTATCCGATACAATTTTACGTAGTTTACATCCAACAATCAGTACCGCTTTATCCACGGACGAATGAGCTTGATCAGAACAATAAACAACTAATTTATCAAGTAGTTTACCAAGTGTTATACTCGAATCTTTTTCTTGCATTCGATTGAGCACACGTGAACGTGCTGCTAACACAGCGACTAATACTGCTTCACTAGCAGTACCTAGAACACATAAAGTGTTTAGTTATTGAATTATAATAACTAGTCGTATAAAACGCCCTATGAGAGGAGCATATCATGGAAAGTTTATAATTTCTGTTTAGTGAACTCACCTTGAATCACTCCACCTCCATTTCCTGTTGATAAGAAAAACTCTGGTAAATTTAATGCTTTGACTAGCCAATCCATTACAATCACTTCTAATTCTGTACATGATGGCGATGCAATCCATGAAAAGCCAACACAAGCGATGCCTGCTGATAGAATATCACCACAAATAGCAGCATATGAATTTGCTGTTGGATAATAGGCATAAAAATACGGGCTTTGCCAATGTGTCACACCTTGCATTATCGTTGATTCTAAATCATTGATTATTTGACTAAATTGTTCGGGTTCTTCTGGGGCTTGTGATGGTAACAAGGGCTGAAGATAACCAGGTTGAACAGATGGCAATACCGAACGATTTTCTATTGTTCGCCAGTAGTCAGCAACAAATTTTAACATCATTTGACCACTTAATATTAGCTGATCGGAATCCATTGCAGCGATAGACAGTTAAAATACTCTAAAATTAAAAAAAGATGAGTTGAAATAGAAAAATTTGAATACAAGCTATAAATCGAAAAATGCGTTCACCAATTTAACTCTATCCAGCGATAATAAATAAGGATTAGATCATTGAATTTTACTCGACACATTTACATACATAAATATCTACATGATTATGAACCGATCGAACCTTAATGACGCTTAAAGCAGCGCTAGTGGAAACGAGTACGATTTATATGCATGTTTTCATTTTCAAAATACACGATTAGAAAGCAGTGGAAATATTTCTCCGTGCATGGAGAATAATCATGCATAGATCGTCCACTCTAAAGGCAACGAAGCAGATATTACTTATTGAAAAATTTCAGAGTTGATGCGAGCACGTAAACGCGTTTCTTTTTAACGTTGTTTGTTGGAAAACAGACTTTAAAGAAATGTAGCGTTTTCCTTTTCGTGGGTAAAGAAAAATTATTTAATTTCCCTTTCACGTTTAAATGCATCTTTTTTCCATGAAAAAAAACATGTTTCAGTTTTTTTTTTGAAAATAAACAGATTTGCGTGTTGGTCTGAAGGTTGAAATTTTTTTAATTAGTAATGGGCGCAAAATCTGAAAATTCAAAACTTCTACACGCAGAAATTCGACCACATCGTGCAGAAATTAATAATGATTCTTCACGAGTTATTTCACAACAAAAAAGACTTAACCATGGAAATACGTCTAATGACAATATAGTGTACGTTTAATAAATAATCTGATTAAGAATTAACACATTCAAACTGTAACAATTACTGTAGATAATGTTTGGACTAAAATCTCACCGTTAAATTGCTTTAATAATCAGGAATTGGATACGACTGGTTCTTATACTCTTTAGAATGTCTGAAATTGGAATGAATGATAGATATGGCAGACATAAAGAAACATTATGATAATAATTTTCTTTTCTTACTATAGAATGAACAGTTATGATTAATTTATCCTAATATTTGTCATTGTAATGTCTCATTTAAAAGTATAATACGAACGATCCTTATCGATAATAATGTCTTTTTTTCTTTTGTTTCTACGTTCATTCTATTTCAATTTCCGATCAATTTCCTTGTTTATTATTTATGTTCTCCGTTAACTATTCAAATAATTTACATGATGTGTGTAGAAATAGAAACGGTACTCACAAAATCTTTTAAATAAGGAGAAAAATTACCCGGTACTACATTCTTAACGAATAATATATCCTTTGTCAGAAATTCGGAAGCATATGTTGCATATGAATCATTGAATTTCTCATGATCGAAAACTTATAGAAAAATGTAAACTCATTTTACTTTGGGTTCACGACTGTGACAGAAATGCATTTTTTGAAGTTAAAAACTTGTTTTGTTATTTCGTTCAATGCTATTAGTATTTCCCAATAGTTTTGGCTCAATTAAGCGTTGAAGAGCTTAGATAAACTTCAAATCGAAGCTGATAGAGCTGAACTGTTAAATTTTATTTTTGTTTTCTAGAAAGAAGATTTTCTGAAAAATGGAAAAAGATTTTTGTAATGTTGACTTGAGATACATACTAAAATGTAATAAAGAAAAAAATCCAAATCAAATTCTGTTAATACACTGTCCTACAAGTAAGTTCTTCTATTAGGTTCATTTTTCGTTGTATTTTACCGTTTGTTAGTAAACGGGAGTGTTTCTATTCGAAATAATGTCATTGTTGATAGTAACTTACATGCAATGTTATTCTCTTTCCATTACAGCTCTGATAAATAGGGCTGTCTGTTTATCATTACTTGACTAGTAACAATTTTTGTTACTTATTACTAGTAATTAGTAACAGCAGATGCCAGTTTGTTACTTTATTACTAGTAACAAGTAACGCAGTTGTTACTTGTTGCTAGTACCAAGGAACAATCTTTTAGCAGATATTTCTGCCAGTTGACTTCTTAAGTAAAGTTTTGTGAGGGTGAGAGTGAGGGTAAAATACTTGCTAAAAGGTGGTGGAACGTCTGATAAAGAAGTACCTGAAATATTTATTAGCTATACATCACTGCTAAGGGAAGAGTCATAACTTATAAGACATCTTATAAAATTCAATTATTTCACCCTCACCCAACCTTTTTCAAAAAAGTTTTTATGAGCAAACAAAAAAAAAGCTTGGTTTTTGTTACTTTATCAAAAGTAACAAAGTAACAAATCTTTGTTACTTTGTTACTAGCAACAAGTAACAACTGCGTTACTTGTTACTAGTAACAAAGTAGCAAACTAGCATCTGTTGTTACTAATTATTAGTGACAAGTAACAAATTCTTGTACTTTACTTCGTAAAGTAACACCAAATAATAAGTAAACAGACATTCCTACTGATAAATCTATGATTATTTCTTTGAAATAGTTATACTCCTTTATTTTACCGTTTACATCATAAAGTCTGTAGTGGTCTTATATCCTAGAAGATTAACTAGAGTAGAATTTACACAATCAACAAAAAAAAGAACGAAAAATGAAGATACAAATATGGTTTACTGTTCATATAGATCAGGCTTGGAACTGATATACCGGTCGATAGATCAGTTTACTAACCATGTGTTTACCGGTACGGTTCCAAGCCTAATATGGATAAATGATCTGAATCACTCAATTATTGATAGTATTTACAGTAGAAGATGGGTGAAAATGCTCGTATGAATTTGACAGAGCATGTGAGACACAAATAAAATATTTTATTGAAACATTTGATGGGGCTTAGTGCACGTAGGTGCTAAACGATTAAACCACAGGAGCTGTCTTTGAAAGTCACAGTATCGTTGGCACGTGCAAATAATGTAATATGGATAATTCAGTGTGCACTACAAAACAGCAACTCTCAAAAAAATATGACTACATCTAAACTTTGCCATTTTTCAGAGGCCAATTTTTAGAAACCTAGTCAAAAACAGTCTGTGTACAGCAGCGAAAATTACATTCGGAACTGTCTGTAATCCGCTAGAATTCACCTGAACAACACTTAACGACTTTTTCCAGTAGGAGAGACTTCTTAGGCAGAAGTTCTTTTAGAAATTCTTATAGTATCATCATTGAATTACTTGTCGAAAAATATCTGAACGACTGGATTTTGATGATGATTAAACATATCGTAATAGAAAAATGCTGATTTAGCTGCGGTTCTAAAACGTTCCTACTCTGAGCCGCTTTAGACATTTTAAAAGATCGCCAAAAAAAATAGGTCATGATAGTACACACTGTGTACTCTAGCAATATAGCAGAGTGTAGAGGATGCAGCCAATTTTCCGAGAGAAAATCAATCTTGAAAATAATGCATTTTACTTAGAATGGCAACTTTAGAGCAATTTATACCAAAACTAAAAATACGTAAGGCCGTTAAAATGATTTCAGAAATAGTCTAATATCCAGTCTATCCTAAAATGATTGAAAGTCTCATTTATTGCTACATTTCGATAGGTTTGATCTCCAGAAGTGTACAAACAGAAACTTTGGACTCTTAATGCGTGTCATCTACTACAAAACGAAAGCATATTTGGCGCTCGCTCGAATTTATAGCAGACACTACGTGATATTCATAGTACAATTCTTAAGCGTAAGTAACATGAACAGACTCAGTAGTTAGAGCGTCTGGCCTGTTACCAGAGGATCCTGGATTCGACTCCCGGTTGAGGCATACATTTTCTTTGTATGAGGCATACATTTTGATCCTTACAAATAATAAGAACAAATTGATTAATATAGAAAGGATAAATCATCATTTTACAGCTGTCCAGGCGCATCTAACTGATAAGCATAACATATACCTGAATTTTATGATTTCTTTATAGAAGTGTATAATTTTCCTAGATTGGATGATAATAAATATAATCAAATTTCAAACAATGTATTAGTAATCCATAACAAAAGCACTAGGATATTTAACTCTATTAATAGTCATAAAAAAAACGTTATTCATTTATGGCTCTTCATAAGCGTATCAGTATACTTGATAAGAATTATAATTTCAAAGTATTATATAAAATTGTTGAAAGTTAAAAGAATATTCATAGATTCAACTAAAAAAATTACTTCATTTTTGTGTATACAGTAGCTATGCGTCAATTCATCTTAATATGTTTATTTTTGGCGATGTTTTTGATTGTGACGAGTAACTGTGCATCAAAAAAGCCACCGCATCGTTATAGTTATTTAATTAAAAGTGATAGTAGTGTACAAATACAATCACCAATATCACAGTTGAACAACAAAGCAGCGCTTACAAAACGTTCACTACTTCCACGTAAACATCAAACACATCAATCGAAACCGCGAAAACGTCGACATACTCAAACAGAACATCGTAATCGTTACCAATATCGTAAATTAATGAATTAAGCCGAATTCGAACAAGTATGAGTTTTACAAAACAATATTTTTTTTCTTTAATGTAAGACAAATGACAGTATTGTGATAAAAAGGAAATTGATAATAATATACAAAGTATATTAGCTTAAGAAAATTCTAATTTCTCTTTTCCTTGTTATTGATAGATCCCTAGGAAGATTAAAATAATGTCATTTTTTTATGTTATAATAGTCTATATCCATCAACTGACTCTAGATAAAACCCGATTAAATGATTATATTGCAATGCATAGAGCATTTTCACTGTTTGCATGATATAATATAGTATTTTATTTAAACGAAAAATGATGACAAAAAAACAATAAGAAAAAAACTTGAATCTATAAAATATGCTAAAAAAGACAAATCTCTAAAGATAACAAGCCAATACTAGAATTACTTAAAAACATGCATATACACATCAGTGTATAGACATTTTGATTGGAATCATCCGTATATTTTCACGATGTATAACAAAAAAAAAAAGCTAAAATTTAATTAACAAAGCCGACAATATACAAAACAAATATCAATTAATTTTGCCAATACGTCCCAATATAGTAGCCCTTAATAAAAGCTACTCTTTTCATGAATAGGTGTATAGAGAGTTTAGAAACTCTAAAGTACGAACGAAATAAAAGATAATAAATAAGGGAAAACACCAAAGCGAAACTACTACAATACAAAGTTTAGGTAGTTTATTTATCGCATGACGTTTTCCAGTGTATAATATTGGTTCAAAACAGGCAAATAACACGTTCTAATTTTAAATAAAAAGAATATAAATATCGTTTCGAGTTCCATTCTCACTAATTTTGGAGAAAACTATTTTGAATTTAATTATGTAGATGTACCAGTTGAAATGGTTAATGCCTAAATCAAAGAATTGATTATTTGATCTAAAGACATGTGTATATTTTTATCCATGCGATCACTAACCTATTGTTATAAATGGTGATCTATATCCAGTACTACAAGACCATTACATTTATGCAAGTTGATAAAAAAACAACAAAGCCTTACCGTACTGTATGTAAGATTCGATCATTTGATTCTATTCGCTGACAAGATAAGCACTGTACAGTTACGTTTTTTAGAGAAAATTCCAACAAGTAAAGTAATTAAATAAAACACTTAGTCTCAAGTATTTTCCAGTTCCCGCCTTCAGGCAGGAACTAGAAATATCGTGCCGTAATAACTAATTCAGCCAAATTTGTTGTGTAAAATGTACACTGTATGATTTGAAACAACTATTCGCAAAGATCCGAAAATACAACAGCGGGTCGAGGGCTACAGATATGTCAACGAAAATTAATTTTCTACCTTATCGAAGTTCCTTTATAGATTTCTAAGAGTGAGAAGACGAATATTTCTGAAAACGGAACCCTGATCTTTTTATTAATTTTATTTTCGTGTGCAAAACAGTTGAATAGGCATAAACTATCAATTTATCAAATAGTAATACATTCTAACTCATAGTAAAGAAGATAAGCAATCAAAAAGATAATGACCAGTGCTCTTAACAAAGAACGATGGCTCATTAGAAAGTAAACCAGTACACTGGGATTTTGTCCTATTCAACTTTATACTTTTATTGAAAACGATTGTTTAATCTATCAGATATTTTTGAGCTTAGAAACATGATGCAACAAACAATTTTG